AGAAATGGATTGACATGCAAAGCAATTTCATTTTGTAGAGATACTTCATTGGGAAAATTTTGTTTAGGGTCATTAAAAATTCTGAAAATTTTATTTAGGTTATTACTTTTCAATTTATCCTAATTAGGTCACTACACTTGCATTTAATTTCAAATTTAGTTTCAAATTAAACCACCATGTCATTTGTCATCTCCCAATTTGATGGAAGCTGAGTAATTGGTAGCCACACCTTAATCGATGTTTGACCTGCTAATTTACCATTATGTCGTTACGTCATTACATCACGCCAGATAAAAAAAATTCTAAAAACATTGACTTAACCTTCATTTTATCACTTTTTTTTTAGAGTATTGCATAGTGATTATGTAGAAGATTAGTCGCCAACCAAGCATTTTCTATTGATGATTAGTCCCAAAATGTGATAGAGTCGTGAAAAGCTCAAGGGGCTAGCTAAATGCAACTACAGGTATCCAAGATTTCGGGGTGGGGGATTAAGAGAGATAACGGCGGAAGTAGTCAACAAAAAAGAGAGTTATGATACAAAATTGAAGTGCAGTGACCAAAATGGTATAAATTAAAATTTAACGACCTGATTAAAATTTTGTTAAAGTTCAGTCATCACAGATGAAATTTACCCACTTTCCTTTGACAGCCATTATTTTAAAACTCTTTAATTCTTACACTTATTTTCAACTAAATATTTACACAATAAAATATTTTGCTTATAAATTCAAAANATTAATGATGCTCATCTTATGCGAGATGCTGTATATCATGATCAGCAGACAGAATATGAAGTGTTCTTTCTACGAGCTGATAGTTTGGATAAGAAAGTGCAATCTCGCAAGTGTATACTGCTAAGGAGGTTACTTTGCTTAAGATATTAATGCCCATTTGTCTCCCATTATCCCAAAATATTGTTTGCTACCATAAGATTCTCCACCACGAACTCATCCAATAAAATATTCTACACACAAATCAATAAAGTTACTTTAAATTTCAACGACACATTCTCCAAAAAATACTATTCCTTACTCTATTTCTCTACCAATAATGGTAGACAAATAGGCTCTAATACACTTCGCTAAAATTTCCGAAGAAATGGATTGACATGCAAAGCAATTTCATTTTGTAGAGATACTTCATTGGGAAAATTTTGTTTAGGGTCATTAAAAATTCTGAAAATTTTATTTAGGTTATTACTTTTCAATTTATCCTAATTAGGTCACTAAACTTGCATTTAATTTCAAATTTAGTTTCAAATTAAACCACCATGTCATTTGTCATCTCCCAATTTGATGGAAGCTGAGTAATTGGTAGCCACACCTTAATCGATGTTTGACCTGCTAATTTACCATTATGTCGTTACGTCATTACATCACGCCAGATAAAAAAAATTCTAAAAACATTGACTTAACCTTCATTTTATCACTTTTTTTTTAGAGTATTGCATAGTGATTATGTAGAAGATTAGTCGCCAACCAAGCATTTTCTATTGATGATTAGTCCCAAAATGTGATAGAGTCGTGAAAAGCTCAAGGGGCTAGCTAAATGCAACTACAGGTATCCAAGATTTCGGGGTGGGGGATTAAGAGAGATAACGGCGGAAGTAGTCAACAAAAAAGAGAGTTATGATACAAAATTGAAGTGCAGTGACCAAAATGGTATAAATTAAAATTTAACGACCTGATTAAAATTTTGTTAAAGTTCAGTCATCACAGATGAAATTTACCCACTTTCCTTTGACAGCCATTATTTTAAAACTCTTTAATTCTTACACTTATTTTCAACTAAATATTTACACAATAAAATATTTTGCTTATAAATTCAAAAATTTTCTTTACTTTTTAACTATACATTTTTCAAAAATCACCGCTCAAAAATTCATTTGGATTAATCTACTTGTACGTTAGAGTTGACATAAAGGATGACATTATATGAGTGGGGGTGGGGCCCACGATAATGTAGCATGAGACCCACTTCACTCACATTATGTTATCCTTTAAGTCACCCCCATTGTTCCCCTAACATTACCCAATTCATTTTCGCCCGTCAAACACGGTGTATATTTTGGTTTTATTAATGTGATGTGAGCTGTACCGCTCACCAGCTTAGCCCACGGACTCGATTTAAACGGTGGATTACTTTTCATTATTTCAATTTTGTCTGTTTATCCCTCAAACTTTGGAAACTCGTTCCCCCAACGTCACAATTAAATTTTGAACATATCGCATTCAATGATTCAATGATTTAATTATATTATTTCATACTTTAATAATCTATAATATATTAAAAGAATTATTGTTTGAACGATTTTAATCCTATTATAATTCAATTATTTCAATAATATCTTACTTTTCGTTTTTCAATATGTATTTTAATTTATTTAACAATTTAGTTATTATCAATGCACATGTACATTTGACAGATTCATTTCATATGTGTGCTTTCATTAATGTATGAATTCCTTATTATTAATTTTTAATTAATTAACATCTATATTTATTTAATTAATATTCAGCTTCATTTATGTATTTCAATGTTATTAATTCTAATTATAAGTTAAATAGAATTTCACATTCAAAAATGTATTTTATTATTCACGTCTATGTATGCTTATACGTCTAGTTTTCTTTAATTTCCAATTAAATAAATTAATTAACATTCACATATATTCAAATTACTCTTAGAGCACATATAAAGCATTTCATAATATAGTGCAATCCACGTTCAACATTGACTAGTTTTCATAAAGGATTAATAACAAAAAAAAAAAACCTCTAGAAACATGTTCATTTGCGATATAATCCATACCTATTAAAAATCGTAGAAAAACCACCTATTTGAAATCTTTTGTACAAAAAAACCTCACCGTCAAATTTGCCGTTAAAAACAGTAAACATGCCAGAATTAAAAAGTAATAATTGTAATTTTAGTATCTAAACTTTTTATATTTTTACAAATTATATCCAATTTTTTTTTTTTTTTTATGTACCACACAATCTCAAACTTTTAAAACTTTATGTTCCACCCCACCCCACCCCACCCCACTTCACTTCATCTTCTTTCCCAAAATTTTATTATTTTATTTAATTCCTTTCAAAACCATCATAAATCCCTCACCCCAAATTTCTCATTTCTTCTCAAACTTGTCATTATTCACACAAGCCAGTTTGTAAGTACGTAACTTGAGCCTCAACGTACTCTACAGTCATAAATGTATCCTACGAAAGTAAAGACATGCACTTGACCAATACTAAACCACAAAACTCATTTCTGAAGTTTCAAAAATGAAAACAAAAGGTTTCTACATATTATACGAAGTGGAATCGACTACAAAATACCTAGCCCAAATCAATTAATAATAATTATATACACACACACACTTATGTATATATATACACACAAACAGTCAAACATACAACCTTTGTTGCTGGTCTTATCTTATGGCTGGGTTTTGTAATGGTTAAGCCTAACTACTTTTCTTATTTTATGGCACAACTTTACTGTTTCTGCAGGTTACTTACAGTTACAGTTGCTTGGCCTTTCCCTGCAATCATTTATATTGGTATTATCCTCTCAACCTTAGGTGCAGCTCTACAAAGCCTGACGGGTATATATATGTGTGTGTGTATATATATATGTATTTATGTATGTATGCGAGGGAACAAGGAAGAAGTATGAATCTATCCTGGGAATGAGAAGAAGAAATAATGAATTTGGTATGAGGGATTTATGAGAGTTTTGGAATGGATTAAATAAAATAATAAGTTTTGGGGAAGAAGATGAGGAAGGGTGGGTTGAAAAATAAAGTTTCAAAGATTTTGGATTGTGGGTGGTACATTAAAAAAAAAAAAGGACATAATTTGTAAAAGAATAAAAAATTTGGATACTAAAATTGCAATTATTATTTTTTCATTTTGACATTTTTACTTTTTTTTTAACGATAAATTTGACGATAGAGGATTTTCTGCACCAAATGTTTTAAATAGGGGTTTCAATAGATATGAGAATATATTGCAAATGAAAATGCTTTTAGATGAATTTTCTACTATTAATCCTTTTTATAAAAGTAAGCTAGTATATTTGATAAAATAATAGTAACTTATTGAAAAAATTAAATGTAAGCATTAAATGTGTTGTATGTATCTAATCAAATGTCAATTGCACATTGCTTTCGATAATTGACATTGTGTAGTGTCACAAAACTATTTGTTCGTACAACAATAAATTAGGAAAAGCATAGAGACAAGGCAAATGACCGGCCAACATTGACAACACAAACGATTGAAAAATTGAGTTATCATGATTTCGTCGTGCAAGACGAGTTACCATGCACAATGCCAGACTATTTCATCGAGAAACTAGCTAAGACTACATCTAGCTATAATCATACAAACGATGACTATGTTGTATTGACGAATTTTCTTATCCCTTGTTTGGTTAAGCTTTTTTAATTGATTAATATCTTATTTAAGGTCAACAATAAATTTTAACTATGCATCTTATATGATTCATAATTTTTCAGCAAATATTCCATTAATTTTTATTAAAATCTACTAAAAATCCGATTTTTAACTCAACCAAAAAGCCACTCAGTTAAAATTTATGTTGCTATTATATGAAGTACAAACTAATTGACAAAAATATAATTGGCATACAACAATTTTATTATACTAACTTTGAACAATTAAAAAATAGTGAAAGTATTATAAGAAATTTATGTCATTGGCGAGGAAAAAAGGAAGAGAAAACCAATCAAAATATAAAGAAAAAGTGAGACGAATTATTAAAAAACCAGAAAATGATGGTCTGATGTAGACACAAAATCCAACGGTTTAGATTCACTCCATCCTCCTCTAAATTCTGCTAATCTCCACTTCCTAATCCTCCGTTCCTCCATTATCACCACCACACACACTCCACCCCACCCCTACCTCCACCCACTCCCTTTTTTCACACGCATAAACGCAAATTTCCACACACTTGCCCAGGGAATAATGTTGGGCAAGCGTGAACAGCCTCCGTTTAGGAGGACAACAAGCATGTCAGGAATAAATGCTGCCGCCGGTGAAATTCCGCCGCCGTTTAAGCCTCTTAATCCGATGATCGGCTGTGTTGGATTCGGAGATGTAATTGTGGGTCCAAGTGGATATGATGAAGGGTCAATGGCTATGATGCCTCAGGGAATCTATATGACGGCTGGTTCGGGTGATTCAGCCGGCGTGGAGATGGCTGATTTCTTGAAAACCTGCGGCCTCTGCAACCGCAGTCTGCCACCGGGCCGTGATATCTACATGTATAGGTACCTCCGTATCAGAACTCTCTTTCTCAATCAAATGACATGACATGAAATAAAATCATCCTCGTAACGGATTAAGACACGAACTTTTTTATTTTGGACATCTCTTTTGCCACCTCGTGGTAATCGAAGGAGCTGGAGTGCATATTAAAAAATGATGCGAAAAGTCGTTAATCGTTAAATATTTAAATCTCGGTAAGAGTTTAGAAACAACGTTGAAAGTATAGTGACCACTTAAATTTTTACAGGGGTGATGCAGCATTTTGTAGCCTAGAATGCCGAGAACAACAAATAAAACAAGATGAAAAGAAAGAGCGACGCGCCATGGCGAAGAAGGTTGAAACTCATCACAACCACTCTAAGGTGGCGGCAGCCGCTGCCTCAGACACCTCCAGCAAGAGTGAGACGGTGGCGGCAGCTTAAGGATTGAAATTATGCTCATAATCATCAATTAATGGTCAAATATTCACTAAATAATAGTGTGTATTAGATTCGTTAATGTTTGATGACAAGTTTAGTTGGAAAGAATGGATGGCACTGAACAATATTGCTGAAGAGTATGTGCACATTGTATGGTGTAGTCCATTCATGTTCAGATATTTAAATTTCTGTTTCTATTATGAGGGTCCATAGTTTATGCAACTACGAAAATGATAGCGAGTATGTACTTGTGATTCTTGATTATCTATCGATGATTATGTCATTAGACTTTGAGTTTCCAATGTTATTTCAAGATAAAAGGTAATCATCAGATATTCAAATTTGGATGCTATTTCAAGATGAAAGTTATATTTGTTGTGGATATTGTGATTATTTTGAACGATAAAAGAGTGTGAATGTAATTACGTTAAAAAGTAAAAACGACTATGAGTGGATTCATCGGCAAGGAAATATTTAATTTTCAATTTTGTTTATATAGTGTTTGCAAAAGCAAAATTCTGCATAGACATGTAAAGTGAGTCGTGATAGACGATGGCGAGATATATGAGAATCCTTATTTCTTTATATTTAGTTTGGTGTCCGGAGGTTCGGATCAATTTTTTGGTGGGAGCTTGGGAAGCTTTAATCATGATTGAAGTGTGACCAAAATTAAGTCATGTATCTGCAATCTGCATTACCCATCATTATCACTATCACCACCAACTGCAAAACCCTAGCTCGTCCTAACGAACGCTACCATTCTAAGAATCAAGCCTCCACACCACCACCACCGCTTGTCTCCTCCACCACCAAAAAATTAAATCGCCCTCTACTACCATATACCCCACCACTGGCAACCACTATCATCACCATTCCCTCCACCACCAACAAAAACATCATCACCCATTTCACCATAATGTCCGTTGTATTAATTTTCTATTATTATTGTTAAACTTATTTTTACTTTTATAACAATATATAATATAGTCAAATATTTTTTTTTTCTAAAATTATGTATTCACTATAATTATTTTAAAATGAAAAAAATAAAAATATGTATTAAATCTAAAACTCATGAAATTATAAAATAAAAGCATAGTTATATTATAGAAAAATAATTAAAAATTTTAAAATACTTTTAATGCATCCTACTCAATTTGGTTCTATCAATTTATTTTTGAAATATCAATAAAAGTTGGATAAAAAGGAATTAATATAATTAAATATGGTTAAAATGGTATTTTAATTATAGATAATTATATAAGCTAAAGCACCATTTGAAAAGGTACTCTTTTCTGCTTCTTAATGTCTGCGAGGAAAAGATCCAAAATGACTTTCATAAAAAGTTCTTCTACAAGAAACACAAGTAAAACCCCATCAAATGGTCCTAAATATAGATCATTGCACAATTTTCTCTTTTACACTTTTGGTTCAAATGGGTCGACCCACCTGGGCCTAGTAAAATTGAAACGTAAGTGGTATTACTCATGTGAAGATTAGGCCCACTAATAGATATTTACCGTTTTAAACTATTACACAAGAATTTTGCTACTTGAACGTCAAAATTGTACATAAACGGTTACTCAAAAATGATGTGGAGAGAAAAAATTGGATGAAAAAATTGATTGTATTTTAAACTAACTCATACGCAAAATACAAATAAAGTGTTATATCATGTCACTTTTTAATGTAAAGAAAAATTTGAACTCATATTTTTTTTTTTTACGAACCACTTGTATACATCTATTTGATTGATCTAAAATAATTCAAATAAGAAAGATTGCGACATTATAGAAAAAGTGATAGCGAATGTTACTTTCAAGTTTTAGTATCTTAATTCATATGCAAAAATACAAGTAAATTGTGAAAATATGAAATTCGACCCAACAAGTCCCTATAATTATTTCTAAATGGTTAATCATACAATTCAATTTTTCCCATGTTGAATTACAGCAATTATGAAAGTAATAAATAAACATATAATTGATCACAGAGAAACCCAAATTGGATAAAAATTTCGGGCACTTTGCCAGTTACTAATCTACTATATACGATTTAAAAACTTACAGTTCACTAAACACGACTACCACTAATACTTTCTGACATTCTGATTGCAATTTCAATAACTCTTCTAAATTTCGTGCTCCTACACCAAATCCTAGCTACAGTTTCTATAGCTCTCCTGGATTGCGCTCTCATGCAGTAACTCCCAACTTCATGAAATCGTCTCTCTTGTGGATTAACTAAGAACACCGCATTCTTCAACGACTGGAACTCCAGTCACCTTCCCTTAATTTTCAGACCTCTAGCAGATATGAAGGAAGCAACAGTTTGGTATTTGGATTGTGAGTTTGATGTTTTCACCACCAATAGCCAATAACAGAATGAAGGTTGAAAGCAAGTTTATGACAATGATATGAAAAGAATATGTTTTTCACAGTGTTCAACCTTGAAAATCATGTTTAGAGGCGTTAAGGTATTTATATGTAGGTCAATGTATGAATTGACCAGATAAAAAGCCTTAAGAAAACGAATTAAAAAATTGCAGGATAATCCTATCGGTCGAGTGAAATTTGGGCGATAGGTTGAGCGAAGCCTTGGCGACATGCAAGCGACCGTGCTACTGTTTTTGACACTCGAGCCAAGTCTTAGCGATAGTCTAGCGAAATTGTGGTACCGTTTCTCCTTCTTTTCCATTCTTGAACCCTAAGCATAAAATAACTCAATTTCCACTATTTACACATAAATTGTGACACCGTTATTCTTTTCATGCTTATCGTTCGAGAATTTACTGGGGACATCATTTTTACGTTTTTGAGGTTTTCTCCTATTCCTCATCACCTTTTAGAATTTTTTAACGAAATAAGCTATTTCGTCGTCCCTAAGCGTCTCGGTATCAGTTAACTCACTCTCTTCTTTTTTAATAGTGTTCATGGCTATGGATTTTCCTTTTCGGTTGAGATATAGTGAGTTCATAGGTTTGTAGAGATCCTACGAGTTCTTCTATCTTGATTGCATCTAAATCCTTACTTTCTTCGATCGTGGTGACTTTAGGTCTAAACCATTCAGTTAGGGATCTAAGGATTTTTCTAACGGTTTTAAGCTCGAGGATCTTCTCTCCTAGGTTAAAACTAGAGTTAACTATATCATTAAACTTAACATAGAATTCATCAAACGATTCATCGTCCTTCATTCTAATTTTTTCAAACCTAGAAGTCAATAACATCTACAGTTTAGAGTTTTTAACAATTTTAGTTCCTTGGTGAGTGGTTTCTAATATATCCCAAAATTTTTTAGCAGTTTCACACATCGAAACTCTCATAAACTCTTCAGCAGACACATCCATAAATAGGGCACGAATGCCCTTACTGTTCCAGTTACACTCAGCTAATTCATCTTTAGTCCAAAGTGAAATATTAGTGGGTGTAGCTACACCAGCAACAATAGTTGAAGGTGCAGTCCACCTAGTTTGAACGCTCATCCAAATACACTCATCTAATGCTTTAAGAAAGCTCTCATTTGAAATTTCCAATACGCATAATTGCTTCCTTCGAAAAATGGAGGCATAGACAAGGACTGACTCATCTAGAATTAATTAAGGGTTATGAATCGAAATAAGACTTTGATACCAATTGAAAATATGAATTTCGAACTAAACTACATCTAGAGGTGGGGTGAATAGGTGATAACGTGGAATTAAAAATTTAATAATTAAATAGCAACAAGTCACTATTAATTATTTTTAGATGTTTAATCATACAATTAAATTTTTCCTATATTGAATTAACACAATTATGAAAGTAATAAATAAATACATAATTGATAACGGAGAAACTCCAATTGGGTAAAAACTCCGGGCACTTTACCAGTCAACAATTCACTATAAATGATTCAAAAACTTACAGTCTACCAGACTCGACTACCACTAGTACTTTCTGACCTCATGACTGCAATTTCAACAGCTTTCCTAGATTTCGTGATTCTGCACCAACTCCCAACTGCAATTTCCAAAACTCTCCTAGGTTGCGCTCTCCTACAGCAACTCCCAATTTTGTGAAATCATCTATCTCCTGTGGATTAAGGAAGAACGCCACATTCTTCAACGACTGGAACTCCAATCACCTTCCATTGATCTTCAGACCTTTGATAGATATGAAAGAAGCGATAGTTTGGTATTTGAATTGTGAGTTTGATGTTTTCACCGCCAATAGCCAATAACATGATGAAGGTTGAAAGCAAGTTTATGAAGATGTTATGAAAAGAATATGTTTTTTACAGTGTTCAACCTTGGAAATCACGTTCATGTATTTATATGTAGGTCTAGGGATGAACGAGTCAAATAAAAAGCCTTAAGAAAATGAATTAAAAATTTCCTGGATAACCCTGTCACTCGAGCGAGACCTGAGCGACAGGCGAGCGATAGTGTGTCACTCAAGCGAAGGCCTGATGATAGGCTAGCGACTGTGTTATTGTTTCTGACACTCGAGCCAAGTCTTGGCGACACTCTAGCGAAATTGCGGCGCCATTTTTCCTTCTTTTCCATTCTCGACCCTAGACCTAAAATAACTCAATTTCCTCTATTTGTGCATAACTCCTTGACTTTTACAACATGTTAATTTTAGTTAATTTTGTTCACAGACTTATTAATTTCATCAAATACCTAACAAATTGTTTCACCATGGCACATAAAACAAGGTTTAAATTCATATTTATATGTAAATTTTCAAAAACACTCTTGTATGGATCTAAAGGAATTTAAATGAGATAGACTGCGACATTTTCACATAAAAGTAACATAATGTCATTTTTTTTCATTCTCATTTTTACAAACATTTTGCATGTATACTTGAATTAATTCAAAGTTATATATATACACTACCTCAATCTAATTCATACAAATCTGAATATTAACGTATATCACTCAAATTTATTAATTTAAAGACAAATTTAATATGTAGGCTCTGCTTGAGCCACATTATTTTTTTCATTTTCATTCTTATGCTCATTTTCAATCACACATTTTTCAATAAAATAATATTTTATATCACATCAATAATTCTTCCTTCTTTTTCAACCACATATTCCACATCACATCAACAGTAGAAATACATTCTTTTTTTCAAAAATATACACCAAACGGGGGCGTAATAGAACAAAAAGTATCAACAACATAAAAATAAAACAAAATATGAACTAATGGAATCACAAATAAAAAAAATACAAAGTTGTAGATTTTTGGTTGATTATTTAAAAATTTGGGGAAGTACACTTTGAAAAAACGATAGTTGAAGCAACCATTGATCCTGTTTGGGCTTGATTTGTGTAAGGTTTATTGTTATAGTTTCAATTTTCCTTGATTTCGAGTTTGGAAGAGTCGAAATTTTGGAGCTGCTGATTTGCTTCTTTGTTTTAGGTTAGCATTGTAATATTTACGATGTTTATTGAATAAAATTAGAATATTTGCCTTTTAACCCATGTTTATCATGATTTTTCAAAATAACTCCAAAAGTAAAGATATTTGTGTAAGTACCCCTAATATATATTGTATCATATTATTATATCCTTTTTAATGAAGAATATATAATTTTAGATTAGTTTATCATTATATACGTTACTTTTATTGGAAAAATTATATCAGCTATTATATGTTTTCTAATATTTTTCAATTTTTAGATGTATACATACATCGTTATTCGTTGTTAGTCGTCGAGTGTTCACATCACACTAGTGGCATAAAAAGACAACTCTAGTAGAATTCGCAAAAAGTCCTCTATTAAAATGATGTTGAAAAGACAAATTGGACCACAATTGCACGATAGTGACAGAATTGGAAACCAAGATATGATTAAGAAATTGAAGCATCAAGCAGATGTAACTCTTATCTTGATTGAGAGTGAATCACTCTAATTCACTTGTTATTTTACCTCCATTTTCAACTTTATTCTCCATAAAATTAGACATATAATCCACAACAGAAGTCACATATCAGCTCATATTTATGAAAACACAATATATCTATTTCTCATATAGGAAAAGAAGGCGCTTGCTCCAAATGAGCTAAATCTGCCCAGAATACACTTATCATAGCTGAAATCATAGCCATATACTGTTTGCTAAAAAAAAAAAAAAAAGAACAATATTCCACTTGTGAAGCCAATCTTCTCCTTTAAATACTTATAAGTAATAATTTTTCACTTATATTCCAAAATCATGTTGTTCTCCGGAGCCAATCCAACGCAAGCCCTTAATATGTTCTCAAGCATTGCCCGCTGCTTCGAAAGTGCATTCACCACTGGCGTGCCTGGTGGAACCTGTTTATTCGACCGTAATAATATATTAGTTTTCGAGTGATCTTATCTAAACATTAAATCATTTGAGCTGTGAAAAACTATATATTATTTTATCTTCAATACGTTTTTGATGCACTTATTTTTGATTTAAGATTGAGCACGCCTATCTATGCATTGATATAGACATTTTGATTTATTCCACCCCAACTTGTGCAACATGGCACATCTTGTGTACAAGGGCACAAGAATTAAGACATGCTGATTGAAAGTATGTGCACCATAACTTGGTAAACCATGGACCACATTTATTTATTTTTTATTTTTTTTGGTCTAATATCACACTTATCTAGTTTACTAATTAAGCGTGTAACGAGTACTTGAACAAGTACGTTTATTCTTGTCTTGTACAAATTAGTCGATGTTTCTCACATATTAAAATCGAAAGAAACTTACAAGAGGAGCTTTAGAGAGATAGCTGAGGATAGTAGCCACCGGGTGGAAAGAGTGGAATTTGCCCTGAAATCAACACAACATGAATTCTATTAGATGAACAAAAAAACATAAACAATACATTTCTAATTTAATACGATGAACCAAAAGTGTCATAAAATGTTTTCGATGTACCTCGCCTTCGGCCTTGAGCTGTATACGAGTGCTGAGTTCAGCTAGGAGAACCAAATCCAATATGATTGGAGCTGCCAAAAGCGAGTCCTCACAAGTGTTGTGCAACACTATAGTACTCTTCCCACCCATAAATATTTCTGATGTGTACTCATCCATAGCCCTCTTGCTATCTCCCACATATGGCACATACTACACATGACACCATCCAATCACACATTAGATGAGTTCAAACGAAGTTCTAAAGTTGGTGTCTCAGGATCGGGTTCTCAAACTATAAAATACCTTAATGACAACAACGTGGTCCGGGTGCTCGCCAGGTTCATAAAGAATGCCATTGCTAGCAACCATGTCGTCCACGACATTACTTTTCGAGATCTCTTTGGATCGAAAAGTTTGAGGAGCTGACAAATTCATGCCATCATTATTTCCCAAATGATTGTAACTCACTATTGATGTTGGCTGCAAACAAAAATACCCCATAAAAATATTATACCACGTAAAATCTTTACGAACTTTATTTTCAATAAATTTAAGATCGACTGAACCAAAGTATACCTTTATACCAGCTCCAACAAGGAAATCAACCAGTACTGATTTCATCTTGGTCTGACCACTCTTAAAGTCATCTCCACCAATCAAACTATTCCTCTGAATGGCCAAATCAATCAGCCCTAAAATAATTCAAAATCCAAAATTAATTAATTAACTTCCCTAATCAAAAGGGTCATAAGAGAATAATCCATTCATTACTTAATGGACAAAATTATAACTATTTACCTGGAACAAAAGTGTTCTGTGGGCTGCCATTGATGAAAGGAACATTTTCAAGAACACAAGCTAATGCATATAAGGTTGAAGGAGATATTTCAGCCTCATTCTTCTCCACTGAGGCTAATAGGTTTTCTATAGTGTCATTTAGCCCAACAACTACATTACTGTATCTTTCTGTATTTGCAGTCCACAAAACCACGACCTTGTCGACCTCATTTTTCTCTTTAAACTCCCTATTACAACATAAAATCATATCAAAGTGCAATTAGCCCATTAAAAACTGGTACCTCGACTACATGTTTAGTATGGTTGACTAATCAACGTGTCGGACGAGACACTAGAAAAATTTAAATCTGTCATATTTTGTCTAGTACAGCATACTAAATCGATAAAACATGTCATTTGTAGGTTATGTATACCTAATATCTTTGATGATTTGTTGAACTTGTTCTTGCTTGGTTCCTTTGATCACATTGTTGGCACGTGCACCTTGATTAGCAGCAATGAAATCAGGGTTGTAGATTCCAGGGAGTGGGAACATATGTTCCATGTAAGGCCCAAGCTGCTTCTGTAGATCAATATCTAAAACCTTAGCCCTTCCCATGGCATCAGCCAAATTCATGTCACTGATGTCCCATCCTCCAAATACAATGTCATCTGGGTTGACCTAGTCATATTACAAACACAAAATTATTACATATACAAATAAATTTACGACTAAACATAGTATTCGCAAAAGATCGAGGGTATGCTTCACAAAGCTTGTTGCTGATTATAAGCAGGCCAAACATAATTTTTTGTAGTACCCATAATTTTCTATCCAACTTTTTACAACATATTTCGTAGAACCAACTTATAATTTATTAAATACTTTACCAAACATCCTCAGAAATCAAGTCTTGACGTGTAAGGCCCTTAAGAATGCGATGTTTCTTAAATAGTTTGAGCATTTAAACGAGGTGGCAACGATGTATATGAATGTATGTATTATACCATGGGGAGGAGGCTCTTGAATGGGGCATGTATCTCTTCTCCATTGAAGGATCCAACTCTGATTGAGGATGCCTGGGTGAGTGAGCCAAAATAATTGGCTCGTTGCACCTTATCCTTAGTTGCCCACGAAATTCCTCTGTCATTTATCAAATTCTTGTCATATGTTTCATAAATACAAAAGTAGGTAAAAAACAAATTCTAGTGGGACCCGCGTGGTACCCACTAGTCCCGACCCCCTCCGCCACCAAATGGCAAGTGGTCAAACAGTATTAAATAGCAAAAAGACAGTTAAATTTTGTTCATTATCATATGAATTCTAGAGTTTTCTATCTAATATACTATCAAATTAAACAACTTACTCGCGATTAGCAATGACACCAGCAGTGAGGGTTGAGCCATTGTTACCTCCCCATCCAACAAGCATAACCCTAGAAACACAATCAATATAGTATAATTAACACGAAAATTCGGGAAAAAAAAATTCTTTATCTTAGAAAAGGGAATATTAACAAACCCTAATTTTGGGACATGAATATCAGTCTTGAATTCATATTTGACAGTTTTTGGCTTGACAATCCATTGATAAATTCCATTTCTGCTCTCATGTACAAGCTCTGTGGTCTCATAATTGTACACTGAGTGAATCTCACTCTCTGTGTACTTAACATTTGGGCTCTCAACCTTAAAACTCTCGATGAACATTTTCAATAATCTTAAAATAATAAAACTCTTTCTAGAGAGATAAATGTAGAGAGAGAGAGGGCGAATGTATCTGTATTTCTCTCCTTGAACTCTCCTAGCGTTGTACGTCTGTGTATTTCCGGTTAGCATCAAAGCTGGCATATATAGGCAAGTTGTACGCATTAATGGTAGACATGGCATCTTTCTATTGGTCGTGCCCCACATGCCCACATACATATATATTTTTATTATTATTTTTCTTACCGTCAACTATATGACAAACAAAATACGAGCCTTTGAGGTTGAGGGATAAGAGGTCGAGGGTCACGGCTTACAGAGGCGGATCCAGCATTTTCGTTATGCTAGGATGGAGACCGTTGATCGGTGACCGATCGATCATAATAGCAAAAAAAATAATAATAATAAACTAAAAACTAAAAAAAATCACAATTCATAGTTTCAGACAATAATATAACATAAATTCTCATTTCTCATAATTCATAAATCACAATTCACAAAAACTAAAGACAAAAAAAAAATCTAAAATCACAGATAAATTATTCATAGCATTTATAGCAACTGTCAAGTGCCAACTAGCCCAACCAACTATTAGTCTACTAGCAATATTGAAATGATTCAAATGAAGAAGAAGCCTGTGAGTGAGCAAATACCTTTTTCCCCCAGTAGCAGACAATTTCTCTTCGGCAGACGATTGACGAAGCTCCACTGCTCCTCCAAGTCCAAGCTCCACAGACCACAGTCCACCCCACCCGTCCACCACTCTCCAGGGACCAGATTCCAGCCCACTGTACTAGTTACCAATTCCACCGTCCAGACCGCGCCTTCTCCCTAATCGCCTCTCCCTCCTATGCCGGCGATTTTGTTGTGGGTTAATCGTAAATTAGTAATGGACTTAAAATTTAATGAACAAAAGTGTTTGGGCTCATNATGAATTATGAAAAATCACAATTCATAGTTTCAGACAATAATATAACATAAATTCTCATTTTTCATAATTCATAAATCACAATTCACAATTCACAAAAACTAAAAACAAAAAAAAAAAAAAATCTAAAATCACAGATAAATTATTCATAGCATTTATAGCAACTGCCAAGTGCCAACTAGCCAAGCCAACTATTAGTCTACTAGCAATATTGAAATGATTCAAATGAAGAAGAAGCCTGTGAGTGCGCAAATACTGTTTTCCCCCCAGCAGCAGACGATTGACGAAGCTCCACTGCTCCTCCAAGTCCAGGCTCCACAGACCACAGTCCACCCCACCCATCCACCGCTCTCCAGGGACCAGATTCCAGCCCACTGGTACAAGTTACCAATTCCACCGTCCAGATCGCGCCTTCGCCCGAATCGCCTCTACCTCCTATGCCGCCATTTTGTTGTGGGTTAATCGTAAATTAGTAATGGACTTGAAATTTAATGGGCAAAAGTGTTTGGGCTCATTCTTGATTACATTGGGCCTTATTTTTTTAAAATAAAGGCCCAAACAAACAATAAGGAGGGGAAAAAAGAAATCACAGGCAGCAGCAAGCTTCTTCTTCACTTCATCTTCCCGGCGGTCGAACGGCGAGGCAAAGCTCCCGACAGATCCAGCACGGGCGGCCGCGGGGGCTGGCCAGGTGCGGGATCCGCCCCTGACGACTTACATCCATTTTGATGTTAGAAAAATTAGGATCGAACTTTCTAACTTTCCATGCTATGATTATAGATCCCTAACTTAATTGAAACTTTAAATTTGAAGTCCAAGTGGCTCAAACGCAATGTGAGCATTCAAGTTATGCAATCTTTACCAGAATTAAAGTTGAAAAACAAAACTGTGAAAGAACTTAAAATTTCTCCTCAATATAATTGGGTGCAATATATATGGACTATGCTTTTATTTTATAATCTTACAATTTTAAGATTTAACAGATGTTAATTTTTTTTCACATGCACAACAATGAATCACATTTAGCTCCTATTTGACAACCATTAAAATGATTTTTTTGAGATAAATGAGTTTTTTAATAATAATTTTTTGAAGAATGTATGATTAAAAATTTTGTATTTACAGGTAGAATATTTTATTGGGAGAATGTGCGATTGAACATAAATTTGAGAAAAAAAAAAGTTTTGTTTCAATAGTTGTCAAAAAATGATTTACTTATTGGACGCTCAAATGCTGATTTTGAAATACATAATAATTTTTGAGATAAAAGTTCACAAAATACTTATATGATTCTTTCCATAGCCAACTCTTCTTTTTTCTCAACACATTTAAAATTGATTCTCGTAAAAGCACAAAAATACAAAACAAAGCCATAAGAAGAAATCATACAAGTGCATTTTTTGCCATTGTTGTGTCAAAATCAATGAAAAATTGACTAGTGTTCTTCTGTAAAAATTTCTTCAAACTTTTTTTGTACCTATAGCATAATTGGTGTAAATGTATTTTTTGAATAATATATATATATTTTTTTGGAGTTGAAGAATATGCGATTAAAAAGTAGAAAAAAAAATGTAAAAACATAAAAATGATTTTTTTTTTTTTAAAAGGATGATAAAAAATAAGTGAAACGATCACTTTCAAACAAAGGTTAGAGAAATTTAACAAAAGACTCAATGCGTCACGAATGGACAATTGTGGGGTCGGCCTCAGACACGTGGCAAAACGTTGTGGAGCTAACTTGTGGCCCCTAAAACTATGGGCCCACGGGCTTTACTAGAAGTCTAGAGTATACGCCAGGCAATTTTGACGGTGACTCGTGAATGAATTAACGGCTGACCGATAAAGGGCTTTTTTGCTTTTTCATTTTCGTTTTTCTTTTTTACGTTGAAATTTAGAGCCTGTTCGGTACATTTTAAAATTTAATTAAAATTGAAAATATGGTCGTTATTTGATCACACTCGTCTAATAAAAATCAACAATAACGGCTAATTTTTCAATTTTAATCTAATTTTAATCTCTACCGAATATGCCCTTAGTATCTTTTCACAAATGGTCCCTGACCAACCCTATTCTTATTTTCTTGGCACTGACCTTCTCAACCTGTTGATTTTGTACACTAACGGTCCTTTCCATGGCCTATGGTGTTTTCTTTCACACGAGTCTGAAATCTTCCTAAAGAGATTCATAGGCTTTTTTGTAATTAAGTCTTGTTATGTGAATGATATTTGTAATGGTGATGTCAACTATTCGATCAAATTTTAATGGTCATTGTTCAACTAATCAACAAGCTATGAATTATATTTGATTGACGTAAAATTTGTATTATTAACCAATTGAAAAAGGAGTAACGAGGACAATGATTCCATTTTTCTCCTCCACTTATATTTAAAATGTTAAGATCCGTTTGATAGGTAAATGTGAAAAGAAATTTCAATTCCATGTTAGTTGAAAAATAAAAAATTATCAAACCCATAAGAATTCGTTTTCCATGAAAATAAAGAAAATGCAGTTTATAGTGGTTGTACCTTAGAATTCGATTTCCATTTTCACGTTGTAATCACACGGTCAAAGTGGAAGTCGTTTTCCACGAATGTAATATTTTCCATGAAATTCGTTACTATCAAATAGAATCTTAAAAAAAGTGCGGAAAAACGTAAATTTACTTTTTCTATTTTAGTTCCATTTCCCTATAAACGAAACAAGAAATATTGTACTATGTGGGCATCATTTTTATGTGGAATGAGGGTGAGAGCAACTAGTAGGTTCCACGCAATTCTTTTCTTTTCATGTTCCCACCTCCGTATTTCATTTTTCACCTAAGATTGACAATGATGTAGAGGTGTCAATTCAGATAGGTCGGTCCGCCAACGTATGAACCCGATAACGATCCGCGTGAAAAAAAGCTTGCCCGCTACAGGTTCCGGGCTGGTTTCGAGTCGATCCACAAATTTTGGACTACAACCCAAGGCCCACCCACTGACACATCCGGGTAGATCCCATACGGGTCACGGGTCGCGCGGGTCACGGTTTGTGCCGAATTTGCCTGTATTATTGTATAAATAAAATTATAAAAATATAGAATTTTTCATATTTATAGTAAAAAATATTTTTTTGTTAAATGTAAACTAAGAATTGAACAAAATGATAAATTCATATTTATACCAAAAAACGTTTACATAGAATTCAAATTTAATATTACATAAATTATTTATAACTTTGTAAAATTAAATTTAATTTAAACAAATAACAACTAAATGTATTTCTAATTACTATTATCAAATATTTATA